GGCAGCTAACATAGCGAACTTAAACTTGAGGCTTTTGAGGCGAGCGCTCGGTACCTTCGAGCGGCAACTCGTGCCATTATTGATTAACGCCTACATTCGTCCCCACCTCGAGTATGCGGTGCAGGCATGGCGTCCGTGGCTAAAACGGGACATTCGTCACCTGGAGCAACCACAAAGAAGAGCCACTAAGGCAACACGTGGTCTATCGGGCCTTAGTTATGAATTGCGTCTTCGTTCGATCGGTCTGTACTCCTTAGAATACCGACGACTTCGCGGTGATCAGATCCTCACTTACCGGATACTAAGAGAAGAGGACCATCCATGTAAGTCGCTGTTAACATTATCTGCCGAAAAACGATGCCGAGGCCACGCACTAAAACTTGTGACTCAATATTCCCGTTTAGATTGTAGAAAGTTTTTTTACTCTCTTAGTGTCTGTCCGCACTGGAACGCACTGCCATCGCATGTGGTGAACGCACCAAACATCGAGACATTCGAAAGACTATTGGACTTGCACTTACATGATACACATTATATAACGGTATGACAAACTGCAGTGTCTAACTTACTGATATTTTTGTGTCACACCTGAAACTTTTGTTTTCTTCCATTTGCCATCCTGTGGGTCTTGTAAAGTTATTGCTTTTTATCCCACCATACACTATTGAACTATTGAACTATTGAACCAACTAAACAACGTGACTTGTAAAACAACGCTTCTTAACCCGTATAAATTCATTGTTCATTGTTCTATTGGCAATAATCGTTACACCGACATCAACCAACGTCTATTACTTTAAGTAATAGTGGCCTGATATGATCAGGCGACAACATAATCGCTCGCATCTTAACTTATGCCTCAAATTCTAACCTTTATTATTAGCATTTGCTAAAGGAGAAAACATCAGTAATGCTTGTTAAGGTTTCTGAGGTCCACGTGTGCCATCACCCGCTTAATGATAATGTTATTTTAGGTACCTGTTGCACTTAGCTGTTGAACGTTGTTTTCATCAAAACTTTTAAAAACGCCTTATCTCTAGGTCGAATTCTAAGTCTGTTATTTGGTTCTGATAACTTTCAGTGGTAATTCTAATTTCCAAACTTGGCAGCTTAAGCTGACCTTACAAATTGCGCGAGGGCACTTGTACTACAAAAAGTGTGAGCATTTGACTACTGTTCGCATAGCCTTGAATTAGTTTAATCTTATACGTTATGGCACGAAATGTTGGTAGAGAATCTACTCCGATCATTCGGACAAGAATGCACGGCTTTTTAGAGAAATTGAGTGCTTCCAGTGAATCTGAGTTAACGTTTCTAGTGAAGTTGATTTCAGGAACAACATCGATCTTGCATACATTCTACAGTACTTTCATTTTGTGCGAAAACTATCTCATGGCCAACAAACAATAAAATATAGCACTGCGTTTTAGCTTTTACCGTGCCGGCCACAGTTCACCAGAGGCTGTCACAAAGGGACTTTATTACTATTCATCAGCATGCTCCCGCAAGTGCTGAAACGAGGAGAAGAATATCGAGGAAAAGTGCATGGGCTTCCTAGTAGACAGCTAACCAAAGTTTGTGTCGCTTGTTAGATTGTTTCAGGTTGCATTCTATTGGGGCTGAAATTAGGGATGGGCTTGTTTGAATATGAGCTAACCAAAATACAAATTCTGGCGGAATGATTTCTCAGCGTATGTATTTACATTATATTTGCTGATATTCTTCCAAACCCATTTTAGTTATGCAGATGGATTAGAGCAATTCTTAGCCATTATAATTCCATGGAAGTACGAATTAGGTTTCCGGATATTATCTACGTGTGGTCGCTCAATTCTGAGCTTAAGCCCCAACAAAAGCTGGGTTGATAACCTAGCCAAACGATAGTTAAACCGAAGTACTGTTCGATGAAAGTGGGGACTCCTATTCCTTTCGAAATGTACCTTGTAATTCAGAATTATAGGTAGAGACTTTTTGTCGTGCGGCTCTGAGAAGTAGTGAAAATCTCAGAGATTAAATGCGACGACATTTCAATCAACAATGGCTTACAGGTTGTGACAATGAGATCGGTGCTAGCACGCGCGTTTGTAACTTGACCGCTATGTTTAGAAGTGAATGACAGTATGAGAGAGATCAGATGATTGACAGGCGACAGAATGTTTTCTCACATATCTGCTTTGAGTTGCTGTCCTCACAACACCCACGTTAATTGAATCACTCTGTTTTCGTCTTTCTTTCTAGTGCATTTTCACTACGGAACTAGCGAACATTATGAGGTTGCTCATTGATTTATATCACAGTATTGGCCAGTATGTCACAGTAGAGAAGCATATAAATTGCACGGAGCAGGTGTTACTTCAACTTACTAATGCTTCTTCATAAGGATTTTTGCGCATTGCCTTCACCAGCCTGATATTTCTTGTAGATTCTTCCCTACTATTTCTTTGTTATGTTGAAATAAATTGTGACTCATTTAGTTGCTCAGACGCCCTCAGTTACCCAGGTTATAATCATGAAGTAATCCGACTTGGGTGCTGCAGTATGATAACCGGTTAATTCAAAAGCTTTGCCAGTCACTTGCTTGGCATATTTGTGGGAGGAATGATAGGGTGTGGTTACTCTTATAAAAGTAATGCTGTGGCTACATTCGGAAGGAGTTGGTAATTTGCAGTGAGTAACTTTCCCTGCCTCCTTGACAAATGGTAATTCGTAATGCGCAACCTCAACAGCCTGGCAACTAGACTTAGAGCCAACAAAGCCATGGAGATTAGAAAATATTGGGAAATCACTGCATCATAATCATCGTGGTATGGTAGTTGAAGGTAAGCAAAACACTTCAGCCAATATGCCGCAATGAAGAATGAAAGATTTTGACAAAAAGTAGAACAGAACACTTTAAGTTTGTTTTTCACGCGCCGGTTTTTCTCTTTCTTTGTCATTTTCAATGTTTGTAGTATTAACATGTAAACAAATACAATACTGTACACAATGCTTCCACTGATTCCGGTTGCGGGCCATGTCTTCAAAAGCGCTAAGCCATTGGCATTCCTCATCTTTGGGTCCCAATCCTGGAAGACGTACGGATCCAACATCGGCTAGACACGCCGTCAACAATTTCATGTGTTGCCGTCAAGTGGAAGGCTGACCACGATGCGGTCACCTCCAGCCAGGTCCTTGAAAAGCGAATAGAGCGCGACGCGATAGAAGCTCGGGTGCCATGCGTAGAACGTGACCGAGCCATCTTAACTGGCGCAAAAAACCAGTTTGTTGAAGGGAATACTCGCATTCCCCAAGATGTGACGTCGAACGTCATTACTATTAACTTGATATTGCCACCAAACACGAGGCACCTTCGTTAACCTTCAACACTTATGGCGCCGGCGCGACCTCACTCTCTCTCTCAGAAGGGTAAAGTGTACAATGCAGCGGTACCTTCGACCCTACTGTACGGCGGTAAAACCAGGCCCCTTATATCAACGGACATAAAGAGGCTCGTTATCTTTGACGACCGGTGTCTTCGCAATTTACCTCACATCCGGTGGGAACACCGCGTGGGCAACGAGAGTGTTCGACGCTTTGTTTATAGCACAGGAAAAGGAAATGAACTGATCAGCACAGTTGTTTCAAGCAGCATGCTCCGTTGGCTCGGCCACGTGTTACGCATGTCAGCCCACCGACTTCCGCGACGTGCGTTGTTTGCGCGCCCGGGGGTGTGGATGGAAGAAAAGGTGGGGTAGCCAAGCGATGACTTGGTCGAGAGGAATGAAGGCCCTCACTTCGAAACTGGTCTTTTTAGAAGCCAGTTGGGGTAGGAAAGCCGATGAACACCTTTGGCTGGATACACTTGCTGATATGGCTAGATGCCGACCTTAGTGGCGTTCGTGCTGTGACTTTCTTTGTCCCACCCCATCCAGCTTAGCCTCCTCCTCCAACCGCCATCTCACTATTTAGCCTTATATAATGTTGCATAGTAAGTTGTTTTGCTACATAGTAGCCGGCTGGTAGCTTACCGGAGTGATACCCATCCGTTACCGGTAGCTAAGCTGGCTTGCACCTTTTGCATTATTTTTCTCTCCTTTTTTCTTCCATGGATTGCGGCACGGTAATTGAGGTTTTTCCCACCTCATCCTAAGGAGTATAATGAATAAAGTGAATCAATGCATCAAAACAGCTACAGATGACCAAAAGTTCACCATAAAGCTTTCTGGTTGCAATCTCGTCCTCGACAAGTGCGGTGGAGCATGCTCGTAGTCAAGCTATTGAGCAATTCGTCGTTGATCGTCGCAAGAGATATACTTTTCATTGCTCGTCGACTTCCGGTTGTTGCGCAGGAAAAAGGCAAACGACGCTTCAAAAGGACGATTACTTTGGTTTTGAGTCACATCCCAGGGGGATAAACTACCAAGTTTTCTTTGTAATTTCCGTTTCCCATAAATTCTGCTTAATCAGAAACAAGACCCTAAACAGTTTTATGCAGATGTGTTTCAACTAAAACCATTAATTCATATTTGTTCACTTTTAAGAGCTATCCAAATTTCTGTTCAACTTCAAGCTTCTCTTAAAACTCCTGAAAATTTTGAAACTAGTATTATGTAGTTAGGTAATTTTTACTTCTAGGGAAAAGGGCAATGGTGATGTCATGACATTCAACCAAGTTTAAATTGGAACTAGCATACTGTGTAAATTTGTCCTCTGTCAATGTCAGAGTAACTGTTCATTAAAAGTTTAGAAATGCGCTATTTAGATAACTTCTCACTACTGTTGGATAGAGTGAAAAGGTGCCGCATAATGGCATATCGGATAAAGGCAACTGTAAAATCCGCCTTTAAAAATAAAGCTAGTTACATCAACATTGCAGAAAACCGCTGTAGTTTTATTCACAACGTAATATCTAAACAGCTAGGAAAAATCAGAACTCATAACTTGGTTCTACAACAAGCATCCATCAATTATTTATGCGCACAAATTCACTTCCGTCTACACCTCTTACTCTTCTTCAACAGGGGTCAAACTCAGTTACTCTTAACCGTACACTATGCCAGTTGAATCTCTTTCGGATGATTCAACGTTTTCCACAACGTCAACTGCACTCCACCAATGCCGACACTCCTAAAGGCAGCCGATACAGTTATGCCAATGCGAGTGAGAACACAGCCTTGGGCAACTCAACGCGTGCGCGGTAGGCTCGGACTTACTTGCTATAATAAAGGAAAAGCTATCCGTTGCTTATATATATATATATATGTCTGAAATTTCTAAATGAAACTGCCGTAAATGCTGTGTGAACTACCCTTTCTAGTTGACAGTTATTTATCATAACTTGTTTCGGCCATCGCGCTCTATTACTTAGTGATTATCGGCTGTTTGCTGACTTCTATAAGTGAATTGCAATTTTGCTTGCTTTCTCTGCACTTGTATAATGGTCTATATCTCAAATTCTCTGGTTGTAATTTCAGCCTTATTTACTCAGATTTTCTCCAGCCTTACTTGCTAAAATATCACCGGATGACTTAGGCTATATTGCGAAATACGGAATGAACTGCACTTGTCATTCTCACAAGAGTGCGCTTTATTTGCTACAAAAACAGCTTCGGAGATAGACGAATCTTGTTCATTTACAGCAGCTTAATTTGCCTTTAGGCGCTCACTTAGCAATCCGGCATCACTTTGAAAATTATATTTACTCATCATGTGTGACCCAACCAGCGACATCATTGTTCGTGAAATTTCTTCCCTTAATTAGCACTATTTGGAGCCAGTCCTAATAAGTTCATCAAACTCAAGCATGCGTTGTCACATGTCTGACTCATCGTTAGACACACAAGCTATCCTTTCCGGGTTGACTCTCCACAGTTGAATTGGTTTTTTACGCCGCATTTGGTACGCTTAGTGTTTTCTTCAGCAAATTTGGCGTCACCAATAATGTTCCCTCAGAAGATTCCTGCCGCGCTTTGGCTGCATTATAATTTGGCCCGTCGTCTGACAGATCAGGCAATACAATCCTGACCAAAACTGAGCGATTTAATAGTAATAATAATAACAATAATAATAGAGACTGTTGATAGTTCAATGGCAACAATATCCGTCTACACTTCGCGAATGCATATCCTGAAGTGAGGTGGCTACGTTTTCAGATCATCACATGCGTTTGCTTACCTAACTACGGTTAAGCCCAGAATGCTTAGGTTTCGGTACCCAATTTAAATTAAGCTGGAAGCAAGATCTATACTTGAGAATAACTGAGCAGCATGGAATAGTTTTATCAATGCAGCATTATTAAGATGAAAGATGATGAACAATGAAAAATGACTTTATGCAGGTTAAAAGCCCTGCTTTACAAGCCCCGTTGGGTAGTCTAGTGAGTTATCGAACAATATTAATGAGAAACATGCAGTTAGTAGTGCTACCGTCAAAGAATAAACTTATCGTATGTAATACAGCAGCTCTGCAATCCAAGTGTTTCCGTAGCTTCAATAAGAGAAAAAAATAAATCCAAGTTATTTCAAGGGAGTAGGATGTATAGTAGATTTAAGTAACAACATTCGAGTAGCGGTGTGCGTCATCCAATAGACTTCTAAATATGGTTAGCATGGGTGCAGCAACAATCGATAGGAGAGCATCCCATGGTTGGCACACACGAATGAAGAAGCAATCTCTGCGGCATTCCAGACGGCTGTACGGTTCTGCTAACTTTAAGGAGTGGAACCTAAGTCCATGGTTACTGCAGAGTTTCAGTAAAGAGCGAGACACATGATTTGGATTGTGGCATAAATAACGCCATAAACAATTCGTCTGATAGTCGGCGATAATGCCCGTTGAATAATCCTAAAGTTTTCAGCCTGCGCTCTTACGGAAGGTGGCGCATTCCGATGACGTAGTTAGAAGCCCGATGTTGATGTTGGCCCAGTGCGATATCCAGAGCATCGTCGAATATTTTGAGGAAAGGTTAATACTATTACGTGGGCAGGATACTGGCAGGTTGCCCAGATCTAGACAGGAGAATGATTAGGGTTTTCAACCAAAGACTTTGGTTCAAAAACCTGACCGCATAACAGCGGGTTTGGCAGTGGACTAGAAGTAGTCCGTTTTATGGAATAAGGGGCCTCCCTTCCTCTAACCCCAAAACTGCAGGGCCAAGAGACGGAATTTGTCTGGCCTCTAACCATTAACCAATCCGCTACGAGTGGCTCTGAAGGTACAAAATAGCACCACCCAGCATAGTTCAATGGATCGCTGACGCACGCAAACCATCGCACCACGGTAAGGTCCAGCATCATTGCGATAGGATCCCTAAGGCAAATCATACTGGACTGTTGTGTCAACCCTGGAGCAAACAAAATCTTGCAATGCTCGAGACTCTACAGCCATGAACCAGAAAGAAAGTCAAACGGTTTGTCAAGCTTCCTTATCAACTTAGACTGAGGACGCTAAAATTACACATTGGCAGGTACTGGTGCCTAAGTGGCAACCTTATTAGGGCCTACCAGATTCTAAGCAACCCCAACCACGTTTGCCGTCACCTACTACAACGGAGTCACAACACGAATTTGAGGAGCCACCAGTTCAAGTTAGCCACGCAATACAGTCGTTTAGAATGTCGATGAAACTTTTACTCATTTCGTGTGTGTCAGCCTTGGAAAGCCCTCCAAAATTACGTTATTTCGCTCCCACTTTACCTGTGTTTAAAAAACGTCTTGATGTTGCCTTAACCCACATACACTACGAGATATAGTATGTGTCTCTCAATGAACGATATAATGGGACACAACCAGAATTAACCTACACAACTGAGATTGGCCCTTTCTGCATGCTTCTGTGTTCACATTGTGGTGAGTCCACTAAAATGATTTTCATTTTATCCCTTTGTTTTCTATTCACCATGTTGTGGTTCTCTTTTTGGCCATCCTACGGGATTTGCTAAGCGTTCGCTTTTTTGTCTCTAATATACCATTATTCCATACCATTGGTATGGGTTCAGACAATGTATTCCGGATGTTGGTAACTAATTTTCGTTGCAAGAGAAATTTGGCGATCCATTTCCAGAGAAGGTCACCGATCCCGTAATATTGGAGCTTGGAAAGGAGAATCCGATAATCTAAACGATCGAATGCCTTCAACAAACCCAACTAGGACACATCAGTGGTCTCTCCGGCGTCATCTGACTCGATCCAACTACTCCGAGCGATTAATAATTGCTTTGTGCCCAGTCGCTGTCATCGATAGCCGTGTTACTCGTGTGCAATAAACTTACAGTTTTCTAGATAACACACCAAGGCATCGGCAATGATGGATTCCATGACTTTGGATAAAACACGGGGAGAGACATTGGGCTGTAATTTGAGGGCTCCGTCTTGCTTCCGACTTTGTGCATGGGAGTTATTATCCCATGCTTTCACATTGCAGTAATCCGGTTTTGGTCTAAGGAGGGCTGAAAGAACTGAGCCCAAGATTTTGCCAGTTGTTTTGCTGCTGCACCCAGTGACTCTAGGCGAATGGTGTCGACTCCCGGAGAGCCGGGTTTGTGTCAGCTTCTGCAAAACAGCTTCGGCAGTAAAAGAGATGTGTGAGCTTTCCGGAGGCGGGAAAACAAAAGGTAGCAAGTGATCTGATGATAAGCCTCTCGGAAATGTGGGAGCATATTGTTTCCGCACCGCCTTTGGTGCTTCTGTTGCTGTGCTATTTGGACCATCCTTCTTCCGGAGCGCAGGAATTCCGTGCCACACATTACGGCGACCATTGACAAACTGGTACGGCAGTTTGTGGTTAGCACGGAAAGTTTTCGACATATTCTACTGATATGCTACTTTGTCATCTCTGAGTAGTATTGTGCAGAGTTTATCTGGCATTGGTGATGGTCTGTACTCTCACCAGGCTGTGTTATGTACCGTCATCCATTTTCTACTTTTATTCCTCACGAAAGAAACGGTTTTGTGCCCATTGCCTACGCTTGTCTTTGAGGCATTCGTAACCAGTTGCGTGAATCTGCTGACGACAAAATAAGTTATCATGTACCGTGACTTGATAGTTTGATAATTCCTGGTGTGCCACCATTTGTTGCGGAGAAAAATCAAAAGCAAGATGATATTAGTTGTTTGACAGCCCATAAAGGAGCTAAGGAAAGGGGAAAACATTTAAAGATCAGAAACAAACGAGTACAAGAGAGGTTTAATGATGAAGTTTGGTTTGATTAAAAAGGACGGAAAACCTATGAGTCAGTTTGCCTGCGACTACAAATCACAATGTGGGTAATTTGTAGACTTTAAAGTGAGGTATGTAATTTGCATGCAGTGAGGTTAAGAATTAGAGAAAAGCAGGGTGACGGATAAGAATGTGCGTAAGCCATAGTTGGGTAAATGACCGTCCATTACATTTACCTGTGCGTATAAGGTGAATCCTATGTTAGAACTATTACCGATGTGGTCATGGATGGAGTGAAGTTTATCTTGCGATGCAGCTCTCTAAGTGTCGTTCTAATACTAGGCAGCAGGTCGAGATACGGTCATGTATTCTGCAAAGTAATTTCAGGGAGTAGAACCTAAGTAAAAGAAGAGCTAGTGGTAGTTCTGCGTAGTCTGGTGAGCAATACCATGGATCTTACATGAGGACGTGAATCATGGACGAACAATAAGAGGTGGAAGATGCTTAGCTCACCGCCTGAGCATGTCACCTTACAAGAAACATTTGAGAAGGTAGCATGGGTAACATAACTCGCGAACCGTATTGAAGTACAGTGGGCAACACGCGGAGTAGTCCTGAAATACAACCGAGCTAAATAAGCCCAATAAGAGGTAAGTTACATGTGGTTTTCTAGCTTAGACGGATGCAATCCAGCTATTACATGGCACCAAGACTGTAGGTACTCATCCTACAGTGAAACTGTGTTCAAGAGAATTACTAAGCAGATGACGGAGATAGGGTAGCAACATTTTTAAGTCAGCAAGGGATGGTACGCTTAAGTTAACTGATGGGAACAACATCCCTGAGTTTCATAAACGAAGCTGTTGAACTCGGCGGACGACAAACGTGGAATACTTCTATGCTCATTCCCATGCCTAGAATGTGAATGGGAATATAAAGCATCAAAATCATTATGCTGATCGCTAGTCAGGTAGTTGCCGGGATTGTTTACTTTACACGGATATTCCAGCGATTTTTTAGAGGCATGGTCCAACGTGAACA